TTAGACTTAATTTTGTTTCCATAAAATTCGATGATATTTTTGATTATAAAATATAAAAGTGAAAAAATTAACAATAATAAAAAGGAAATTAAATACAATGAAAAGTAACATGAAACTTGTTTTTTTTTCTTTTAGGTAAACAAAAAAAGAAAATTACCTAAAAAAGTTTACTTTCTAAAGTTCTTTTTGAGTTTTTATATATTAATTTATTTTATCAGAAACATCTCAAAATATATCCTTACTAAAAAAAAGAAAATCATTGGATCTAAATATTTCATAATTTTATAACTGGTCATAAAATATGAAATTTTAAAAACCTTACCTATTCAAATTTATGATATATATTCACATCTAATTTATATGAAAACTAAAATAGATTAATCTCAATAATTAAAAAATGAAAAAAATTAATTCATAATTTACAGGTTTAGTAATCAAAGTATTTTTTTTTTACTTATTCAAAACGATGTTTTATTGGAAAAAAAAATCATGCACTAAATGACCGATTTGACTGATTAATACCGATTTTGAATGTCTAAACTAGTAAACCGATTTGATTCACCGATTTTACTAAAATCGGGGAATCTGGAGGTTCTTAGTTCTTGCGTAGGAAACAGTCCAACGCCTACCACATTAACTTCTTTAAAAAGAAAAGAGTCCCTATAAAAGTGAGTTTTAAAAATGGCTTACATACCTGTTCTCTTTCCCACAATTTCCCACTCCTCATTTCACACATCCTAAGATTCACGAGATTCTCCAAATGCAAGTTAGAAGGGAATTCGTCTATGGTTGTTCCATATAAATCGAGCGTTGAGATGTTGCTTGAGATATTAGGAAAACTCTTTAACCGTGAACATCCCATGAGATTGAGGTCGTAGAGAGATTGGAGATTAAATCCAGTAGGAAGAATCTCAAGATTTTCGCAACGTTCCATATGAAAATCGTATAATTTATTGAGATACTGAATTGAGGAAGGAATCTCCATCAAACTCGAGCAATCGTTGAGAACAAGTTTCTCAAGATTTGTGGCCATAGAAAGATCTGGGATTTCTTTCAGGTTTTTGGATCCCCACAAATTTATTTCTTTGAGCCCTGCAAGTGGCTGAAGTTTAATTAAGTTAGACATCAGTTGAAACGACAAAACATTATAAGCTCGATGTTATTTAAAATCTACTAAAATCTTACATGAACTCCATCCCACAACTTCTCGAGTTTGCTCCGCCGCATTTCGAGCTTAACGAGGTTTTCAGGATGAAAATTTGAAGGCATACATCTCAACGGGTATCTTTCCCAACTTAGTAATCTCAGCTTAGGGGGGAAATGATCAAAACCTTTTGATAAGTGCCATCTTATTTCTTTCTTCTGCCGCTTTGTGAAAAACTTTAGAAAAAAGAGATTACGCATCCCTTTGAAAGCATTCTCATGTATATGTACTTCATCAATTTCATCTATATCCAATGATATACCTAAAACGTTTTTAGTACCCTGAAATTATAATAAAAATAAAAATGAGGGGGAAATCATTAATTAGCGTAATTAACAAATGCCTTAAAATTATGGTTGATAATATGACATGCTTTAAGTCTTATAGAGTGAGATATATGACAAGAGCACTAAAAAAAACTTACCTTGTTATCTTCAAGTACATTGCAAATATCCTTCCAATCCACAAGAAACTCATGTTCTCCAGGCTCATTGGATTGCATACGAACAATCTCCTTTCCCATTTCTTGTAGCAAAGAGTGCATCTCCACTATGTCGTATCTTTCATGGATAAGAGATTTATCAACGAGATTTTTGAGCCCGATATTAACATCCAAGTCACTATTTGCCAATAGCAGCTTGATGTCATTTATTTTCTCACGGTTAAAAAGACATGCAATGTGACGAAATATCGCTTTATCTTTTATGTTATTTAATCCATCGTAGCTAACTCTTAGGGTTTTCTCAATTTTTCCATCCAAACCATTTCGTAGCCTTGGCAGCATATCCATCCACTCCTTTTGATCCCTACCTCGCAAATAGGAACTCAATATGTTAAGACCCAAAGGAAGATTAACGGCACGCAATGCAACTTCAGAAGCAAGTTCCAAAAACCCATCAGGCGGATACTTTTGCTTGAAAGCAGATCGACATAACATTTCAAGAGCAGCCTCTTCAGATGGGAGACGAACCTCGTAAATATGATCAATTTCATGCGCTCTTAAAAAGTGCTTATCTTTTGTAATGACAATGATTCTGCTCCCACATCCAAACCAATGAGTTTGACCCACCAAGGCATCTAACACCAGTTGATCATCCAAATCATCAATAAAAATTAGAACTTTCCGGTTCTTTAGCCTCTCTCTCATTGCACCTAAATGATATACTTTTATGTCCTTTTTGTCTAAAATTTGAGACAGGAATTTTCCTTGCATATGTAACTTCAAGTTGTAGTCATCAGAATTGGCTTGAGAATAAATATTCATGCTCTTAGATATGAAAGCTCTATCGATGAAAATACTACCATGGAAGTGTCGAGAAAGTCGGTTAAATAGAGCTCTTGCAATGATAGTCTTACCAATCCCTGAGGAACCCCATATACCAACCATTCTCACTTCTTTAGATGCCAATTGCAACAATATACTCATTTCAGAAATATGATCTTCAATGCCAACAAAGTCCTCAAAATCCCTCGATGTAGTTAAAAGCAGCTTATCTAAAACATCATTGGCGATTTCTTCAATCATTTTTGCTTCATTAAACCTTACAAGAATATACAATTTCACAAACATGAAAAAATATTTTTTCAAGATAATATATAAGTTAAAATAAGTATTTATAAAACCATACCAAGTCGTAGAATGATATCCAAGAATATTGGCTACACTAGTCAAAGCTTCCTTCCATTGAATTTTCACCTCCTCTGGTTTGTTGTGACATGTCTTTTCAAAGATGTTCCCAAAATCACCTGTCTGCTTCCTCACATGTGAAGGATCCAAACGGTAGAAAACCGGTATCACCATTTGACTAAACTCTTCCTTGCATTTCACTATCTCCAGCAATTCGTTAAGACAGATTTTTTGAGACAGATTTTTTTGTCACCCACAGATTTACTTGGAATGGGTTACGATAGATACTAAATTTGTAACAGATTTTTTCTCTACGACAGACTTATTTTATGATGACACCACAGACTTTTGAAATTTTGACAGATTTATTAAAATATGTGACAGATTTGTTTCAGTGGCGTCAGACTTATATTTTTTAATAAAAATCTGCCATAATGTAGCAGATTTGTTAATGAAAAAATATTTACTAGTTTGACTTATTAGTGATAGCAGATTTATTTTATGTTATGACAGTTTTTTTTTTTGTTTTAACAAAAATCTGGGGTGTGATAGCAGATTTGTTATTTAAATATAAAAATTGCTAGAATGACATATACTCGCAACCGAAATGTTTTATGTTATGACAGATTTTTTTTATATTACGACAGATTTCAGATAAAATATAAAAATCTGTCATATGATGACAGTTTTATCGATGAAGATAAAATTTTAATCTGAAAATAATGTAATGGCAGACATATTCTTACCGCGACAGACTTATTTATATTAAATGGTTCATGTGTGGCTTTCTCCTCGTTAATATATGATTAAGTTTTTTTCGTTTTAGATATATATATTTATTTTTTCAATTTCTATTTTTTTTTCATGTATTTTTTATTTCATTTTATATTTTTTCAATTTTTTATTTTATTTTATATTTTTTTCGTTATATATATAATGTTTTTTAATTTAAATTTTTTTTTCGGTGTGTATTTTTTTGTTTAATATTTTTTTTTCGTTTTTTTTTCTATTTTTTTCTTATTGTATTTTTTTTCGTTTTATATTTTTTTTTCATTTTGTATTTTTTTCTAATTTTTATTTAATTTAATTACTATATGTTAATTAGTTTATTTTAATAGAATTGAAAATAAAATGGGTATTTGGTCTTTTAACACTGAAATTGTGTTATTCTAGTAAACCACAATATTTGGGTGTTAATCTAGTTATTTTTCCTAAGATTTGGGTCAAACTAGGTAAATTTCAGTTTTTCTAATGCAATTTGACGGAAGTTTCATATTTTTTTACTTAATCACGACCACACATGTTTCCCAAAGGCCAAGTCTATAATCGTCAATCCTTAAGACTTTTGAGTTTCTCTTTGTTTTATCCACCAAGCTCTAAGCTCCTCAAGCTTAGTAATGATTGATGCATGGAATAAGCACATCATACTCAAAATCATGTAATTGATGTGTTTTTCCTTGCTAAGCTTAAGAGAGGATTTATGGAGAAGTAATCTCAAACTAGCAAGTAGCAACATGAGTCTGTAATAGTAATTAGCAATGTTAAAAGTTATTAACCTACATAAGTATTTGTTATGTGGGTCTAGTTTGTGACCAATTTCTGCTGGTCAAAGTCAAACATTTTGCATCTTTCTGTGTATTCAAAGTACAATGTTATTGAAAACTGGATGGGATCATTGAATTAGCATTTTAAATTCGTATTCATCCGTGGCTGGTTGGACCGGGTCCAGGATTGAATTTTCAAAGATCCCATAGTTTTTTATAATGAAAATTAGGTACGTGAATAATTTTCTTAGTTTTGATCGAAATCTACACAAATATTAAAATATGAAAAGTAGTCTCCAGTGAAATTTTAACTTGAATTTTGTAAACCGGTTTTTAAGATTTGAACCGGGTCACAGGATCTAGCGGGCTTCAGTCGGTTTTGGCAGTTCAATGAAACGGTTCCCAATTGGACCGGATCGAACCGGCCGCTCCAGTTCTAGGAACTCTGTTTCATGCATGATTTGGCTTAATCAGACACCAAAATACACCAAACACAAAAATGCTTTTAACTCAAATACACTAAAAATGATGAAACAACATTCGCATACAACACAATGTTCACATAACAATATAGATGATACAACATCTTTGTGTTCCCAAACTCACAAAGCCTCTTATTGTCTTTGAAGTAAAGACCCTTTTATTCGCAGTGATCTTTCACAAACCTTGATATGAAACAAGAAAACATAAAGATAGATAAACGCAAACAACTTCTTCAAGCCGCGGCAGGAGGATCATCGTGTACAAACTTCTCAAACTCTTCCCTACTTCTCCCATCTGGATTCTTCTTCCACTCCATGAATTTCGTCGCCGCCTCTATGAATTTCTCCATATGAAGCCTCTTCCATTCCTACCAAAATCCACACACACATTTCACCAAAAAAAACCTAAAAACACATAACCTTTTCTTGAAAAAATCAAGAAGTAAAGTTTCAAACCTCGAAATCCCATTCTCCATACATATTAGGATCATCCTTGTTTGCCCATACAATTGTTTCAACTTGCTTCTTCTCCAAAGTATCCTGATTAATCATCTTTTAAGTAAACAATCGAAGATTGATCATCGTAAAACGATTACGAGGAGGTAACTTACAGTCAAAACAACTTCAACAGTCTTCCTCACATATTCAGTTCCTTCAATCATATCTAAACTCTCTAACTGAGAATCTGTTAATCCAGTTAGTATCTACAACAAAAAACTTCAGAATCTCAGATCCAAAATCAAAATCAAAGAAGATAAAAACACATTTTTGATACAAAACCTTGCCGTTGACAAGTCCATTCTCAGAAGGAGAGATACATGGATGCAAACGACCTTTAAGTCTATACAAGTGACTGTAAAAAGAAAACAGAGAATTCGAATTATTGAATCAATCTTGACGCTTAAGGAAGATAAAGATCGGAGAAGTGAAGAGACAAAGTGAGAGAGAGAGACGTACTAGCCGTGGAGTTGAGCGGAAACCATGACCGGAACACATTCGAGGATTAGTTTGACGACGGCTGGTTCTTGGAAACTGCCGTAGACGAAGACGTTGTGCGATGGAGATTGATCGGAGCTAGTCATTGTTTTTTATTTCACTGTGAAATTGAGTTTTGTCTCTGCAAAATGTGATGTATAGCCAACGTTGTTGACTTTTTCTTACTCACTTGTTTTTTTATTTCACTGTGAAATTGAGTTTTGTCTGAAAATGTGAGAGTTTAAACTTAAAGTGATGTATTTATTCTGTTGTATAGCCAACGTTATTGACTTTTTTGTTCCTTCAGACTTTTCTCATTAGCTTTTTTTTTTTTTTTTTTTTTTTTTAAATTCATTTATTGATTAGAAAACTTGTACATTAAAGACTACATCACTGCTAAGTAAATCAAAATACACATCCACAAATATATAACCGATCATTAAAAAAACGATGGAGAAGTGAATTTTCACTATGTTTTCGATACCAAAGCTTTAAATTTCCGTGATTATTTTTTTTGTCGTGAATAAATAGATTAATTATGGTGTGGATGTGATTAAGGACTAATATAATTTTAAAGGGTGGATGTAATAATTTTTTTCAATAGATGTATGTGGTGCATTTCTCAACAATTTTGTTATAAATAGAAAAATTTACAATAATATTGTTAACTCGGTAAGGTTACTAAAATTTTTATGTATATGCATACGACTACGGTTGTTAGCGTTTTAACAATAATCACGAAAACTATTTTTTGAACTGTTTCACATCAAAAATTATTGTTTATTAGTGTTTACAATTGCAAGTGGCTTTTTAAAATTTTAAATAGCAATAAATATTAGGTGATTGGTAAAAAGAGATAATTAGCTGGATACTATTTTTTTAAAAAAAGAATTAAGAAACAGTAAATTTTTTGTGTATTTGCAGTTGAAGAGAGAAATTGAGTCAGCAACAAATTGTGGACGAAAACACCCTCTTAATTTAAAATGAGAATTTTCTCTCCGAGAATTTCGTAGGAGATAGATGCATCAACGTATCTATGCTGTGGGCCACCAAATATTAAATGCACGTAATGCTAAAAATTATTGGTGGGGCCTAGATATCTATCGAGGTTCGCATTTTACTATGCTCCGAGCATTTAATGAAAACGTAATCATGAGTAGCAGCTACGAAATATATTATCCTCATATCTTCCATCCTCTCTTCTTCTACGAAATTGCTTGTCATGATATCTAATTTCTTATCACGTTAACTTAGACACACTCTAGCACGAAAGCGCCACGAGTGGGACATGCAGGCATCCATCGAGCTCTGCGCGTTGCTCTCCCCAAAGGCTACAATGTCGAATAATGCAAAGCAATTAATAATATATAATGATGATACCTTGCTACACGAGGATTTATCTCGTATCTTACGAGATACACAACTTGGGCATTGACCTTATATATATAGAAGTTAACCCACTTTCATTACTATATCACACCAAACCAGAAAAAACTCAGTTCTCTTCTTCATTTACAATTCTGTTTGGTAAGATAAAGTAAACTATCAACCGCAACACTTTTATGTCTGATTACTCGTTTATTGCTATGCATAACGGCTGAAACTTAAATAAGTGTTCTATATATATTGCAGGTAAGATGGTAGTGATACGAGAGTTGGAACAGAGGATGGTCGCCATAGAATGTGGCCACTAGGAACGTGATGGGATTGAGAGATGGAGGTTCGAGGCAGATCCGAATGAGAAACAACAAAACATGAGGCTCTGAGAGGGAGATGTGATAGAGACGATCACTGCTCAGCTAAAAGAAGAATACAACATCACCTAAGTCGAAACATGCCCGAAGCTGAATTTCCGTTGGCCTTCGTGGATACTTCTCATAGATGACGGGACCACTAAACCTCAAACCATCAAGATGGACAACGACATTGATATCTTCTTGTCCATGAAATTCGATGTTGCTAACCTCACTCTTTGTGTCACAAAAAAGAACACGACTGGTGTTGCAATGGAATTACAAACGTTCTCCGAGAGTGCGAGTTTGTCGTACCAACCTCAAGAGGCAACAATGATACACAAAGTTTACATCATTGTTAACCTTACATCTTCAGACTAGGATGTTGACTTTGAAGAGATTGTCAGACGCGACACGTGGAACCAAAGAGTTGATGGTTTGATGAATGAATAAATCTCCAACCTGGAGGTGGGTTCTAGCTCAACAAAGCCGTTCTTGTCCGCCGATGAAAACACGTTTTTGGCGTGGACTTATCCATGAGAGTATTTGGAAGGGACAAAGCTCCGGTTTTAGACAACCACATATGTGTAGGTAATCTCTATTTACGATATCCAGTACCATTGACAATTATATCCTGACATAGTTTAGTATATCTGGGTATATATGCTTTTTTAATGTCTACATTATTTTGTACATGCTATGTCGACATATGTCACGTCCTGTCATGTTATATCTGGGTATGAATATCTGTGTTTGTTGTTTTGAACATGCTAATGACCACAAACATCTCTCTTACTAGGCAACACGGTGGTCGACAAAGCTACAGACGATATAAGGTATGAGGGAGATAACATATTCGTGGGTTGGGTTTATTAAAATAAGGAGGAATTCAAGTTCAAAATGGCTATCCATGCACATCAAAGAAAATTTCATTTCTGTCATACCCGCTCGGACAGGAAGGTGGTCATTCTTAATTGTGTCACCGAAAGCTGTTCTTAGCGGATGTATGTGTTCTGACTTGAAGACTCCAACGACTATCAAGTCTGCCGTGCTTGTGTGGAACACACTTGCAGGGTTGAAGACCACAATATCTACCACAAACAAGCTATAGCTAAAGTGATCGATGAGTTTATGAGGCCGAGTTACAGTGGAGCTGCGAGCGGACCAAGACCTAGTGTGGTACAAAAGATGTGTTTAAATGATCAAAACATCCCAATATCATATTAGAAAGCTTGGAGTGCTAGGAGGATATCTATAGAAAGAGCCAGAGGTTCAGCAGGCAGTAGCTACTCTCTACTTCCTGCTTACTAGATTGGAAGCAACACTCAACGAATATGGAAACCACATGTTTAAGTTCACCTCTTCTTCGCTTTGGATGCATCCATAAATGGCCTCAAGTTCATGCGCAAGGTGATAATCATAAACAGTGCGCATCTAAGAGGAAATTATGGTGGATGCATTGTCACTACAAGCTCACATGATGGAAACATTCAAATTTAGTCTGTGACTTTTGGAATCGTCGAGAGTGAGAATGCTCGGGGTTGGGAGTGGTTTGTCACCAAATTGAGGCAAATATTATCCAATGGACCAGCTGTTAGATTCGTCTCAGACATGCATTCCTCCATCTACTTGGTTCTCTGCAAGGTTGGCGATATTTTACAATTTATCCCGTTATGTCTCTATAGCCAAATATTTACTGTTATGATATGCTAACGCGGTTCTTTTCCTATTTCTATTCCCTAGATTTTCCCGAATGCAACACAAACATTATGTGTAGTCTACTTGCAACGTAATGTCGAAACAACTAATTAGCGACTACATAAACAGTCACTAAACAGTCGCAAAAAACCTAAAATTAGTAGTCGTATAACAGTCGCTAATTTAAGGACTAATGTGCGATTGCTTTAAGTGGTCGCTATTTGGTCGCAATGTCGTCTCTAAATATAGCGGTTGTTATGTGACATCGTTGCCACTACATGTCAACTGTTTTTTTTTTTTTATTGTTTTGGTGACTGAATTGCTACTACTTTGTTACTAACTAGAAATTAACCCGCGGTACACCGCGGGCCTATATTTTTATTAAATATAAAACTTGAATTTTTTATTTAAGATGATCTATAGATATATGCTATTATTTTGTTTGATTTAAATATATGGTACACCGTGGGACGATATTTTATAACTAAAAAAATTAAATTTTTAGTTATATTTATTTTGTTAATATTGTTTGTTTTGTTTTAATATTATATTATTGTATTTTGATTGTTAAGTGTAGGATTTCACCCGTAGTATATCATCCCGTATTAATATCGACCCAAACCCGTCCCACCATATAACTATGTCCCGTAAAATTAAACATCATTTTGTTATTTTCTTAGAAAGTTCAAATATTTATAAAATTTGAAACTTCATAAAAGTTTTGCAATCGACCCAAACTTCATAATTGTATTTTGATTGGTATACTTAGGATTTCACCCGTAGTATACCGTCCTGTATTCATATGTTCAAAGAGGAAACACGGAACTCCTGGATTCTCAGACCTAATATTTTCAAGAAAGCTTCCTTGTGGAATTCAAATCAAGTGAAACAAAATTCAAGTAAGCAAATAATGGAAGTACCAATATGCGTGATCAAGTTACATCTGATTCAGGTTAGTAACTAAATAACAATATAACATTCCATCAGTTTAAATAAATATGTGTATATAGAATATAATCTTTTCAATGTTGGTAGATAAATAAAAAACTGGAATTGCAAAAACATGAGAATATCACTGTTTGAGTCAAAGAGAGAAGAATAACGATTTTGAAAAGAAAAAGAGGAATGCAAATGAAGTAGCCATTTGAAGGTGTGTTTTCACGATATAGGAAATAGTGGATTTGTGTGGTTGATGATATGAGAAGAGTCAATTGCATAGTGTATTTATAGTAGAATAAGGTAGGTCAAAAAAAATCTTGGTGGCCAAGAATAATATATTTGATACCATAACAAAATTGGCATAAAATCTATGTAATCATCTTTGTTTTGAAATATTCGAAGATTTTTTTAGATTTTTAAAATTTTGGAAATATCCAAAAATGAATTTTTTATATAAAGAGTTATTATTTTGATTTTTTTCTCATAATTCGTGTAGTTAATATCGAGATATTTATGGAAATATTGTTGAGTTAGTATTTAGAAGTAATTAGTTAAGATGTTTTAAAGATTTGAAATAATGTAGAGATAAAAAGGAATATAGTCTATTAATGTGGTAATTAGTTTAGGAAATCACATTAAACGGAATTGAAAGAGTAATTAGAGTCAATATTTCAATATTGTTTTAAGACAACATTCCTAAAATTTCTTATCCAAGATCCGGATAGAGTTAAATCCGGATAAAACCCAGATCCAAATGAATTAA